GGTCCTGGACACCTCCAGGGATCCAGGGGCAGCCACAGCTTCTCTAGGAAATCCATTCCAGGGCCTCCCCACCCTCACAGGGAACAATTCCTTCCTAATTCTTTAACCAAAAATTTGACTAAAAACCACCTCAGAAAGAGCAGATATTTCCTTGGGAAGGAAGAACAGCAGCAGCAATGAAGTACCTGGACCTGACCAGATCCATGTGAGCTCTTCCCTCTCCTTCCCATTCTGTCCCTCAAGAGCTCCTCATTTCCAAGGCCCAACATGGGAAATGTCAGCACTTTCAAAGCACGAAGGCTTTGGAAATCCCAGATTTTGTTTCAGCTGGGAATGAGGTTTGGGGCTCTGCTTTACATTGATTTGGCTTAATCTCAAAAATCTCCAGGACACAGAGTTGTATTTCTTCTACCAGACTAAATCCCCAAATTCTGGGAATTCTGAGAAGTAAAGCAAAGGGGGCTGATGTTATCCATTAGAAGAGCCCAGATAGAGACATTATCCTGCTTTTATGAAAGCCAAAGGCCAAATTCATATTTATTTTAGCTGCAGCAGGATCTGGCTTATATCCTGGACATTACAACATACTGTTCCAATCTCTATTTTTATTAGCAATATTGATAACGTTAGAAGAAATACGATACAGGAAATAGCATATCGACTTTGATTAATTTTACAGTATGACCTTTAACGAACATAAAGGAAGAATTCAGCAAAGGGCTGGAGCTAAAAGTGTTGCTGGTGAAGTGAGACATGTGGTACCTGCATGTCCTGAGAGGGGCAGCTGGATATTCAACATGTATTGGGCTCCATGGAAGAAATATTGTTGATAACCAAATTTTTTGAAGACTGTGCATTCTCATCTTTAAGTTTATTAACACTTCTAGACATAATGGTTTGCTGCAAGAAATGAAGGTATTGGTGTAAAATTAAATTTGTTTATTTTGCACAGGTAGTGGTGATAAAACCTTAGCTGAATATTTCTAGGGATAGGCATGTGAAATGCTTTCATTGCAGGGAGAAAAATCCCTAATTGCAGCCCCAAATCTCAAGTCCTGTTAGAGGATGGGACCTTATTGGATTAACTTGAAGGTGCCTTTAATTGTCCCGACAGCTTTGGAGGGCACTGGAGCCTCCACTCCTTGCATTTCATTGTGTGATATTTAATAATAATAATAGTAATAGTAGTAGCAATAATAAAAATTCACTATTATATGGGTATGAACCACTTAGCATTTGAAACATTGCTTTGTATCTGGATTTATGCTCTTTTTTAAGTTTAAAAGGCACTCAGCACAGAGGTAGTGATGTTGAAGATAAACCAGTCCAGCCTTTTGGATAGCACAGTTTTGTCCTGGGATTGAAAACTTGCATGAAACGCAGCCTCAGCCCCAAAAATTTATCAAACTGCCTTAAACCTACAGGGTAGCTAAAGCATTGTGTGGTGGTTTAAACCACCGAGTTCTTGAGATGATGTGGGCACAGCAGGATCATGGTTCAGTGTTTAATAGCCACCAAACCTGCCTAAAAAAAGGATATTTCTGCTGGTTTCAGGATGCAGGTCCAGGGGCAAGGGATGCAGCAGCTCATCTGATGGACCAGGAGCTGAGGGCAGAATCCATCCCTGAGCATCAGCTGAGTAATTTCAGCAGTAACTCCAAGTCACCACGCAGGTCCCTGATTCGTTCCTTCCCCTGGAGCGGAAGGTTTTATTCGGGGCCTGACTGGAAGCAGATGGACCTGTCAGGGCTCCTCAGGCAGGTGAGCAGAGCGGGTGGATGAGCTGTTAAGTGTTCCCAGCTGCTGGGCAGGGCCCCGAGGAAATTGTTGGAGCTGGGACCCAGCTCCGAGGTGAGATCTGGAGCCAGCGCCAAGAAGAAAAAAGTGAATTTCTCTAAAACGCCATTCTCTGAAAACCTGAAAGAGCAAGGCTTTTGAAATAAGAGAAAATAGCTGAAAATATCTGCAAAATGTATCCAATATAACTTCAGACTTCAGAGAGCCAGAAGCCATCCTCAGCTCCTGCCCCCATCTCTGGTTTTGTTCAGGATCTGCCTCCTTAGGCAGCAAAAATTATTTTTCTGAGTTTTCTCCCTATCACTGGTGTTTCCCTCTCCAGAAAGGTCTTGACTTTTACTTGCTGCTTTGTGTTGTTTGATTTATAAGCTCAAGGGGTCCTTCTCAAAACCTGGACTCCTTCTTGTACCTAATTGCTACAATAAACTGAAAACTTGGTGCTTTAGGAGCAGCAGTCTGGGAGGAAATGGTTTGATGGATGGAAGTAGACGATAGGTCCTTCTTGGGAATGTCACCAAAAGGACACAGCGGAGAAACGGCTTTATAAATAACTGCAGAATTCAGAAAGTCCACGAGCTTGGGGAGACCAGAGCTCTATTAAGCACAAACAGCTTGCAGGGCAATTCCCAACATCTGCAAAAGTCCTCTCAGCCCCTGTAATTCCCAGCAGCCTCGACTGCTGCATCCATCGGCATTCGCTCCCCAGGCCGGCAGTCTGGGATGCCGTGGAAAGGGATGCCTGGAGTTTGCATCCCAAAATGCAAATAAACCAGTGAAAGAAAGGGTGATTAACAAGTCAAAGCTTTTATTCACATTGTGGGGAAAGTATTTTTCTTTCTCCTTTTGGAAATTAATTTATAAAAATTCATTCTTGATGCTTTAAAAGCTGTTTTTCCCGGTGGGTGCAGTGTTGGTGGAGCATGGAGTGGGCATGGGTGGAGCATGTTCCAAGCAATCCCATGGTTCCTCTCATAGCTCCAAGTGATACAGCAGTAAAGAAAATGATAAAATTCATCCAGAAAATGCCAAGGAATTCACTTCACTTGTGGCACTGCAAAGTGCAGCTACAGTCACCAGGAGTTGTGAATGCATCCCCCTGCACCCAGAACCCAAAATCCATCTGGGATGGGCGAGTCACTGTGGCACCAGAGATTTTATAATTATCTGAATCTCTCCTTTAGCTTCCTGAGCTGAGTTTTATGAGTCACCACAGATGTTGTGTGTTCTGGGGGACAACCAGACACCCAAAACAAAGAGGAAAGGGCACGTAAATATTGTGGCTTCATCTGTTTCCAATAGGCTGTGTTTACATATTAATGTGCAATACAAATTTGTAAACATGAGCATTTGAAACTTTTGGAGGAACCGATCCCGGCCTTTTCCCTTTCTGCAGCTTTATTGGAACAACATGTCCCCGGCCCCAGCCACACATGGACATGGTTTCCATACTGGATGCATTTCAAATGGTCTGGGTGCTTATTTGTTCTGCTCTATCTTGCTATCCAATCCTCGTTTGCTTTGCATAATTGTGATACAAATTATCATCTAATTACAGCCCCAACCTCAGCAGATCAAATGTAAACCGAGGCACTTCCATCGCAAAAAGTGACATCCGATGCTCCCTCTATGCCTTTGGCTTCTCCACTAGATGGATTAAATTTGGGTGAAACCAGAGAGTAAACTGCACTTTGATTAAAAATATTATTGCCAGATATTTTGTCCCCTTGGATTTTAAATCCAGCCCTGTGTCTGAGCACCGAGCCCATCCCATGTCCCAGCGCTGGGCGCGGACACGGCACCTCTGGAGTGGCGGATTTTACGTGATGAGTGCTGCAAACAAGCTCAGATATTCCCAAATAACTGCAAACTCCTCTTGTGAAAGGTCAAATGACTAATAGCTGAGATTGTTCAGCAAGTTTCGTCTTCTATAAAAACCCTTTTGTTTTTCTCCCTGTTCCCATTTAAAAATAGCACTGTAATCCTGAGGTGCTGCTTGTGTTTGCCCAGTAAGTCCAAGGAATTGTGAACTTTGAAATGGCCACGAGTTTTCCTGTAATATTTGTGGCAAGAAATACAAAGCAGTACGTGATGGAATTGTATTGACAGGCACATGGTCTTGCTTGAAATATCAACCTCAGTTTGCCCAGTTTCACATTTAATAAATCATATTGATTAATCTGATTTATTCTCTTGAGTTCTGCCACTCAACTCCTGCTAGCAGCTGTTTTACAAAGGACCCTGAGAATGTAGAGTGCAAGTTAGCTACTTTTTGGTGCACATTTATATTAATATCTAGGCAAAACCATCAATTTTATAGTGTGAGTGAATAGCTGAGTCACTGTTATGGATATGGAAAATATTCCTATGCCAGAAGGGCCAGGGAGATCAGTCTGCTCCAAGGTGGCCTTGGTGGCACATGGCAGCGAGCTATGGCTGCTTGAAAACACCACCCAAATCCTTTTTATTTGTTAGACTTTATTTCTTTCCTTTTGGAAGGATAAAAGCAGGAGGTAAAGGCAAAGAAAATGGAAATAACCCTTAGATAACGCAGATCAAGCAGCTCCTCACGCCGTGCTGACCTGTCACACAGACAAATTGATATTTCTGGATCTGCCTGATGAGCACCCTCCCAAAGTGTGACACCCCTGGGACACACTCAGACCTTGCAGGGACCAGGCTCTGGGTGTGTTTTCCATGTGGCTGTGATGAGGGAGGATGGTGAAACCTGGGATCCTACGGGACCCAGGGAGGCGCTTTGAGATCCAGCTCAATTCCACTGGAATCTGCCGAGCATCATTCCTGGTGGAGCAAATCACTGCACCAAAAATATCTCTCCCGGTCATTATCAGTCACATTTTTAACCAGACACTGATTTACTGGATTACAGCTCATGGCCAGCAACTCTGGAATATCTTATGCGACCACAAATATTTGGAAAATTGGAAGTTCCCCGTTGCACAAATCCGTGACTGATCAGGAAGAGCCTTCCAGCTCCCCAGGAGTGCAACCACATGTGGGGGCTGGGTTGTGGTCACTCAGCTGGACAGAGCCTGGCCAGGGCCAGCAGTGGACTCGCCACGGGAATTCAGTCACCACTACCAATGTTGGAAATAAGGACTCCCAAGGGAAAAAAAAAAGCTTTTTCTTTTTTAATAAAAATAGTGAGATAAACTGCTAAGAAACAGCTCGAGAAAGCAGGTTTGTTCATTTTTACAGTTGTACAGACCATTTATCACAGTCCCTCATTTCATACTGGAGTCACTGGGAGCCCTGTGAACACCCACATCAGGAAAATTAAGGAAACCAATGTTGTCTGAATTTTATCAAAGTCTCATGAAACTAAAAGTGTAATTTTTGTTAATTTAGCAGCTTTTGATATTGCTTGTTCTGGTCTGAAGTTGTTATCTGTTGAGGATGAAAATAAAATCAAAGCTCTGGTATCACTTTTGATTCTTAAACCTGTGCCTAATTCCTCTATATTGTGTGTTGTGCTTGAAAATACAAGATTAATCCCAAAATAGGGCTGGTCCCAGCCAAGCCTAATTTTCCAATATCTGCTATCTCTCAAGTGATAAATTTGACTGTAGGTAGAGACTGAACATCAATCAAATAAAGAATAAAACCTGTGTCCTGATTTATTGTGAGTTACATGGCACCCTTGGGAGCTGGACATTATTTACAGGAATAACAAGAATATCCACAGGTTACAAGAAAACAAACAGGAATTTTGGAAGGAATGGAAAATCTCATGTTCCAGGGCCTGTAGAGTTGTAATTCTCCATAAAGGATCTGTGGTCTCTGTGGGACTGAGCCAGGAACATCCCTGCCCCTTCCTTTGGGCAAGGCTGGATGAGATCCCACGTGGATCTTCTGTGTCCCTTGGGGCTGAGAGCTCTGGCTCACAGGATTGTCCTGCAGGGCTCCTGGGGGTGTTTCATCCCACACAACTCTCTGAGATGTATCCTCCATGTCCCCAGCATGGATCCATCTCAATATGGGAGAGATGTGTGACCCCATCCTGTCCTTCCCACCACGCCATCGATGCTGGTGCCACCGGAGGGTAGGGCATGGAAAAGAGGGCTCTGGGCCACTCCTGCAGCTTCTCATCCCATCCATCTTTCATCCTGCCTTTCTTTAGCCTGGCAGCAGATACTTGGATTTAAGGTACTGGATTTATGTCCCCACCCTGATAACGGAGGCATCGGGGTCTTGGAGAATGAGGGACTTTTATGTCATTAATTAGGACCCATTAGAGCCAAGAGAACTTAAGAACAAGCTCAAGTGCTTGGCCAGATGTGGCTCCTTTGCCAAGTCCAGGTCCTGGAGAGTCCCTTTGAAATTAGGGATAAAACTTGAGTGGGTGAGCAGCAGCTCCCCAGGGCTCTGAGCTAACTAAAGGCAAGCAAGAGAGAGAAAACAGAGCTGTAGAAATACAGACATCAATGTCCCCACTTGAGAGTGCAAATAGTAAAAAGGTGACTGACAGTTTGCTCTTAACCTACAACTGTGACATAAATGTGGCCAAAAGGTATCACCTCAGGGTCATCTCAAACCCTCCACCCACCCAACAGCACAACACTCCATCCACAAAACAAAAGGATTAAATGCCTGCCCATCCTGCTCCTGTACCATGCAGCATTTCAGAGTCAATAACTAATGAGCCCCTGGCTATGAAAGAAGGAAGGACTTGCTTTACACAGCTCAGAAATATTCTCTGATCCCACTAAAGGCAGTGGTTAATTGTGGGGTGCCAGTTGGAGTGATTGCATCTGCCGTCCCTCAAAGCAGCCGGAATGCTGTCACTCACTTTGAAATGCCCTGCTGCATTCATCAGTCTGGATGGCACAGAGAAGTTATAACCATACAAGCCATATGGAGGATGTAAAGAACAATTAAGTGCTTCCCGAGCAATGGGACTTGATGGGAAAATGTTTCCAGATGCATGTAATCCATACAGCATTTGACCAGCAGGACCGGGGGCTTGTAGGCACTGAGCGTTTAAGTCTTCGGCTTTGGCGTTTTTCAGGGAAGACAGTTTGGGCACATCCACCATGAAGTGGGGTAAAAGGTGTGGGTTGGTGGCTCCCAGTTTTTCGTGGCTCGGAAGGAGGAGCGCCTGTTGTCTCAAGAAGCTCGTGGGGCAGATCTTGTAGTAGAGGGGCACGTTGAGGGGGTGCAGGAAGCTCTCGGGGCACGACAAGCCCAGGCTGCTCGCAGGCAAGTGAAGCGTGGGAGGGGAGCACGATGGAGAGAGCAGGGGGTTCAGAGGAGAGGGGGTCCCACCGCTGGAGGCCACGGGAGAAGAGCTGGAGCTCCCACCTGGAAAGGAAAACAGAAATCATCCAGGCTGGGCTAACTGGTGTCCACAGCCAAGCGATCCTTGGCGGACTCCTGCTCCTGCTCCAGATCTCCCTGCTGTCGGTGTCCATCCAAACACGAACCCGCTCCAAAGACCAGCTCCTGGAAAACGGGAAGATCTATCCATAAATGGTTATTTCTAGCTGGTATTTGTCTAAAAACAATATTTACACATGTCCAATCCCATTCCTTGTACCGGGATCATGGTAAATGCAGATCCACACACACCTGGATCCATACCTGGCTGCACGACCGATAACTCTCCTCGCTATACCCACACATTTCAGGTTCCCTATTTTTCATGCAAATTCCAGACCATTTTTTCCCTTGGATATAAGAACAAAAAAGCATATTCAGCCTAATGGAGAATTTTTTGTACCTTCCTGCTCACAGGAATTGACTCATTTCACTTGGCTTCCCAAGCAATTTGAAACATTCCCCTGAATGCTATCGGTGTCTCCAGAAATTCAAACTCACAAGTCATGTGAACGTCCTCCTTTCTGGAAGGGATGAATGAACACTTTCAGAATTTGGGAGAAAAGCAACCCCAAGGAGTAAAAATGAAGCAGGGATGGGATGGCTGCTCTGAGGTGGGAATGGTGCTGGGAGCAGCCGGCCCTGGTGCTGCACAGATGCTGGTTTCATCTCCCGCCTGCGGAGAGCCAAATGTCTGCTGCACACTCATTACCAAATTCTTCCAGAGGGTTTCCCCCTCCCCCCACTTTATTTTAATTTCTTACCAAAATCACAGGGAAAGGACGTAAGGGAATGTCGATCCATTTGTGCTACTATTTACATTCAATTCCTACCAATACAATTCCTGGCTGGGATCTAATCTGACTTGACATGCAACCAGCGACCCGAAATCAACTGTAAAGCTGAACCATGGCTGCTGGTATAGCAAATCTTAAAAAAACCCCTTAAAAACACAAAGATTTTGAATGTGATGCAAATTAATTTCCAAACCTGCAACAAGCAGAGCCTCTCACAGGCCAGCTCTTGATCACAGTAATCCGGGAAGGTTTTGTGGCGTGAAAATCTCACCCTTCCCCTGCTGATGTCAGTGGCTGCTTCAGTCCTGACTTCAGCAGGGCAGGGTCCAGTCCTCTCTCCATGGACATTTCCTGATGTCCTCCAGGGCTCAGGGACTTTGGGTCACATAAAATACAGGATTGAGCTGATATTTGTGTGTGAGGCAGCGAGGGAACCCCTACGTGGCTGGATACAGCAGAGCAAAGCAGGGTCAGTATCTGCTGCACTGAGCAATAATATCACACCCCGAGCAATAATCTCACCCAAATTCCACAGCAAGTTTGGGAATGGGGATTGCAGCAGGAGCAGATCAATGAGCAGGTGTTTTCTGCCCTTCCTATTAGGCTTAAAATAAAAATTCTATGGCCAATTTTTTCTTCAGCATGTTAATCATAATTGCTTTTAATTTACCTCCTGGTTTTAGAGCTTTGGGATTTCAGTTTTACGGCTTTTCTTCAGAAATATATTTTATTAGTAGTAGAACTGCAGATTTTGTTATATTTATATCAGTCTAGGAATTCCATCCTGAAGAAAAATACCAAATAGATTAAACAAGAAAAAAAATCCAAAAATCCCAGGCAGCTGTAATATTATATCATATATGTACAATAATATTTTAGTGTCCTTAACATTGCAGTTGTTGTTGTTTCATTCCTCACGCAGCTCATCCACCACCTCCTCTCCCCCGGCAAACAGGCTCAAAAGGAGCTTTTTGCCTAAGATATTTTCTAAAAAACAATTTAATAAAAAACCTATTCATAATACTAATAAAGCTGCTACTACTACCACCACCAATAATGATAATAATTTTAGTTCTTTTTACAACTGATAAACCTCTTAATTTCTCCGAATCGGATTTCTTTGTGCTCTCATTTCTACGCCTGCAGAAAATGAATTTTTGCTGTGATTTTTGCAGCATTTCCCGGCAGACCCAGGGGTGACTTGGTGCGTCCCAAAACTTTGAAGAGTTCCTTACGTAAACGAGAATTTAACTCGCGACTTTAAACCCAACTTGGAGGAGTCCAATGTGCAAACGAGCTGTTAGTTTTTCCCCTTCGGCGCTATGAACAATCTGTTTTCAAATATTACTTTCTGAAGCCGTTTTTCTGGGAAAGGGCTGTAAAGGACCGGTTGCTCTTGTCAGGATGAAGGAGAGCATTTTCCCAGAAAATTTGTCCTCCTCTTCTCTGTATTTCTGTGCGACTGCTGCATCCTAAATACCAGATAATTTTATTTTCTGTTGCATAACGCGTTTGTCGGCGCAGAAGCTGCCGCTGCAGAAAGCACGGGCGGTCACCACCACCACGTTTGCAGTTGATATTCCCAACCCGGTTGGAAGCAATTAGTGTGACAGGATCAAAGCCGGAACAACCCGACTCCAAATTAGCCTCCTGCACACTCAGATATTTTTTTTCTGCCCATCCAACTCTGATTTCAGCCGGGGGCTGGAACAGCCCGCGCCCTCATCCTGTTCTTCCCGGCTTCTCGCATCCACTTTCACAGGAGTTTTATCCAAACCAACCCGGAATTAACTCCCCCAAAAGCGGGGATTCGTTTTCTGGGCGCGCCTCGTTATCTGCGATGGTTCGAGCCGCCCGAGGGGGCTCCGGGAGAGGCAGCGAGCTGGGTTCACTTACCCTGGCTGTCTGCGCCGAAAGCCTTGAAGTCCAGGGCGAGGGGGGCTCTCCACGGGTAGGTCTCCAGGAGCCCGTCCAG